TTCTTCACAACCTTCTAGTCCAATACTACCTCAATAATCTATATATCTGATCTGAGACTTCCACAGGGCGTGACAATAACAGTCCACATACCCCAGGTGTTCACTTCAGGAGTTCATCTCCACACTCTCTCCATTGTTCTCGTGACCGCAATATCTGCCAACCCTGCTCCTAGGGCAGCCGAATTAACCTCCATCTTCTCCTTTAACTGTTCTTTAAGAGACATTAAAGTGTGCACACCCTGCACTGATGTGTTATCAGGTACTAGTAGACCAAGGTTCATTAATGACTGCCTGTTCATGCAGGTAATACCTTTGTGTGTGTGTGTGTGTGTGTATATATATATATATATATGTGAGGTGTAAAGCATTTCCTTAATCTCTTCTCATTTAACAATACAACTGACAGTGAACTTGTTTCACATATTACTATCAGTTTTTTTTTTTTTTTGTTCTTTGCCCAGTTACACTTATGAAGAGCATCATATAAATGTATTTTAAGCACCTTATAAGGTTGGAGAATTGCAACAGGAACACTTTCAGAACTTATTCCAGTAGATATATCAGAATATATCCTACAGCTATAAGGAATACAAGCCAAGGTTGTCCTATGTTTTGTTCTTCAAATATTCCACTGGTTGTGAACCTCAACCTGCACTTAGTGACCTCACAAGGATAATGTTTCTGGCAACGGTAGAGCTGAGGGCACTGACACTCAGTCAAGAAAATAAGTTTGTACCTTATCCCTAAAGTCCCCAGACCTCCCCTCTCTCCATGTTCATTGCCATTTGTAACAGAGCAACTATAATGCACACAATATAGGATGCAACTGATAAAGAGAACATATGTTCTTTTTTAAATTATCCTAGCAAGTTGACAAATATTATGGTTTCATTTTGAAAGTTCAATTTTTTCTTCATATGAAAAAAAAAAAAATTAGAAAATTGACTTTCCATACAAAGTGACTTTTCAAAACATATTTAGGCTTCGTTCACATGGAATGTCTATTTTCTAAAAATCTATTTTCTATTCACGGTATCTTATGATCACGGTCTGTGCCCTAAATATCCCGCCGCGTAATTACTGGCAGCGCGACGCCAGTTACTTAAAGTAACTTATAGTAACTGGCTCATGCTGCCAGTAATTACGCCGCGGGATATTCAGGGCACAGACCGTGATCATAAGATACCGCGAATAGAAAATAGAATTTAGAAAATAGACATTGCATGTGAATGAAGCCTTAGTTACAACTCAGGAAATTTTATTAATTTTCTATCAGATAAATAAAAGCACATACATAATGAGTGCTATCTGAAACATCACTTT